ACTCTAATTAGTTAATAACTATATATGAATATTTGAATTGAGCTATATTAGTTAGTGAAATATGAAGTTTTATGACCTTTTAAGCTTTAGGACGGTTTCGTACTCTAGAAGATGATTTATGTAAGAAGTAAGTTGTGAATTTGTTGGTTATAATTGGGCTAATAATGTTGAAAAAATGCAAAAAGAAAGAGAATTGGGCTTAGGCCCAAACCGGCCGAACCAAACCGAACCAAACCGTCTTNATTTAGTCAATTATCTATTAGTTTATCACAAAAAATTGGAAGGAAATGCATTGCATGATGGATTTAACTGATTTAAGTTGATTATATACAAGGACGGAACTAGCAAGAGGCTCACATGGGCTATAGCCTAGGGCAAAGTTTTCTGTGTAAGCCTCAATATATAAATAAACATATTACAATTCAATGTCAGCCCATTAGCATAACACGACAAGATCTTTTTTATATAAATAAAAAAAAGGGAAAGGAATGTAATAGCATATCATTAAAATAAGGATTGTTCGGTGGGTTATCCAATTAGGGTAACAACAACAATTATTAAAATATTAATGTAATAGCATATCATTGAGCCCTAAAAAAATAAGAAATTCGAACCAGTAAAAAATCACCACAAGTGCAGCAATAGATTGTGAACCCCAAAAAGAAGAGGGCTTTGAAACAAAGTAAAAGAGAAAAGTGCACTGAAACATCTACTATCTTCTTTTTCAAAATCATTCAGTGGGTTCTTCAATATTTTGGTAGGTTTATCTCTTTCTTCTTATTTAATTCTAAATTTAAATTGTTATTGTTAAATTTTTATGGTTTGAGCATTAAATTTTGGGATTCTTAGAGCAACAAGAAAAGAGACAACAATAATTATATATATGCAAGATTTCAATTGATAAATGTTCTATTTCACAGAGTGGATTGTTATTGTTTATATTTATTGATTATATATATATTTTTGATTCTCACTGTATGAATATATATATGATTGTTTGTGTATGATAC